GAAACCAGTACAGTTGTGTTACATCTGAATTTCGGCAGAATCTGACCCTAGTATGACGGACTCAGATTCGGTGACATTGTGTAAGCATGTCACAATGTGACATTCGGTGGATCTCAGCCATCCAATCCCCATCCAACGACTGTCTTGATTGGGCCCGCTTGCAGATCAAGAAAATCCCCAATCCATCCACCACGGCGGGAGACGGCGCCCCAATCCATCCATCCCGCGCGCTTCGCTGCCTTCGTTCGCCCGCCGCCACGAGCTGGGAGGCGCGCCGCCGCCGTGACTCGCCGGGCTCGCCGCTAAGTGGATGTAAGGCTAATGGACCTATATGCTAATGATCCTGTCATAATACAGGTAGCACTTTTCTACCTAGTTAAAAAATGAACTCCAAATCATCTATGACAAATGTTCTGAAAGTTCAATTCTCAGGCATTGAGTTCGAGTTCTGAAAACTAACCATAGACAAGGATGAAAAACATGCTAATTAGGGGATAGCTAGAGCTCTAGCAATAAACTAAAGCCTTTTGTCCTTCCAAAACTAGTAAAATAACCCTCAGTGCCTATCTCTGAAACACAACTCAGACATCCCCAGCAACCACACGGACATCAAACATCATAAAAAAAATCAGATAAGTACATATAAAAGGAGTCATGTTTTCTATAGATTAAGGTCACAGGCCAGAAAGGTCTTTTTGGTTTTTTTTTTTAAGATTATGGTCACAGGCCAGAAAGAGCACTTAGATGTTCATGGTGGTGTCATTTTTTCTTACATTGAGGTCACATGTCAGAAGAGAACACACATATGCTACACAAAGTAGGAAAATTCAGCATAGAAATAATACAACATGCAACTTAAACAATACGATACTGAACAAGTCAGTATGGTTTTATAAAATCACAACACACAACTTACCTTTTTTATTGCAGATGTCTTCCCTTGTGAACCTGAGCCGGATAGGGGCAGATGACGCTCCAACATATGCAAACAGCGATAAAGTAAATGCGGTAATTACACTGAACTTCAAACAAACAAACAAATGATATTTGCACCTAACCGGGATCAATCTTTGCCATGAATCTTGATGTTTCTCTAGTTAGCTCTGGAAGAAAGAAACAATTTTTTTCTGGTAATCTTGATGTTTCCATACTTCTTGATTAAAATCACAGCTCAATATCAAGAATACATGGTTCAATTTGCTGCATGCATTTGTAAGGACTTAATAATAGGATTGGTGCATTCTACACCTATAATTCTTGTGTTTCTGAATTTGAAATAGAACAGATAATAGCGTATGGTTTGATCTATATATATATGCATGCTAACCTCGATTGAAAAAACACCCACTGATTTAGCTCAGCATTTAAATAAAAATTGCAGAAGAAAATGAAGTGCAATTTTAACATATGTAATATGTAAAATTATGTTGAAATTCCTGTAAAAACAGACTTCTGGACATGAGACTTCTGACACATCTTTTGAACTTGTTTACATACAAAAATAGCATTACATATGAACAAAACAAAGTATAGTAAGATTTTTCACCATATATATAGCATTTTGTCCACCATATATAGCAGTTTCATCAAATTAAAGTTCTCGGTTATGAAAAACTGAAATTAGAGGGACCTGATCAAGACTTTAAAAACTTATTGAATGCAGATGTCGACACTTGTGAGCTGGAGCGATCACATGGAGGTAAATGACAACCCAACACCTGAAAGCCGTGGTGAAGTGGACAAGGTAATTATAAGGCTGTGTCCTTTCCCATATGTTTCCAACTACTCTCCATCGTTTTCCGCGTGCACGCTTTTCAAACTGCTAAACAGTACGCGTTTGGTAAAAAGTTTATGTAGGAAAGTTACCTTAAAAATCATATTAATTCATTTTTCATGTTTTTTATAGCTAATACCTAATCAATCATATGATAATCTATTGCTCCGTTTTCCATGCGTAGGGGAGGGGTTCCCAACCCCTCCAAAAGAACACAACCTTAGTGCTGCTTTGGTTGCCCTTTAAATTTTGTTTGGTCAAAAGAAGTCGAAAATTGATACAGTACAGAAATTGCAGTTGTTTTGCTACGAATTTACAGAAGTACTACCCTCTTTTCAAAATGTACGACGCCGTTGACTTTGTGTACAACGTTTGACCATTCGTCTTATTCAAAAACTTAGTATATAATATGTAAAAGTATAAGTTAAGATTATATATTATTTGATGATAAAACAAGTCACAATAAAATAAATAATATTTATATTTTTTTCTCAATAAGAGGAATGGTCAAACGTTATAAAAAAGTCAACGGCGTAGTATGTAAATATAATATAAAGTGGAAATCAAGTTAAAAAAACTCGGGTAAAAAAGGGCTTCATTAGTTCTTTCAAATATACCAGCTTGCTACCACCAGGACACCAGCTATGGTATTTGTTTTAGCTTGTTACAGCTAGCTAATACTTCATGCAAAACTAAGGCAGAAATATCCAAAACCTTGTGCTTCAGGGTTCAAAAATACTTCCTCCGTTTCACAATGTAAGACTTTCTAGCATTGCTCACATTCATTTAGATGTTAATGAATCTAGACATATGTATGTGTTTAGATTCATTAACATCTATATGTATGCGGGCAATGCTAGAAAGTCTTGCATTGTGAAACGGAGGTAGTAGGATCCAAGGCTTGTATTTATTGTTCAAAAATCTGATTTGAATGACTTTTCAAGAATCTGAGACAAAGTGAAAACTAAAACAAAAAATATATATTTCACAAATCTGAGACAACTGAAACATCTGAGATAAACTAAACAAAAATAAATATTTGACAAATCAGCTACCACATTTTTTTTCTGGGTCGAACCTCATCAAAACCATAAAGTGAAAAAAAAAACATGCCTAAGCAGCTCTCAACAGTCTTTTCCAATCTAGCAGATGCTGTTGTCTGAACACATTTAGCCCAGTATGAATAGTGCATCTGCACATGGTTGCACTTGTACATGCATAGTTACAAATGAAATTACTGAAGCAGATATAGAACATGATAAAAGTAACTAAAGCAGACTGGAACATTTGGATTTTAGAAAGTTTGGAATTATGGCACTTGCAGACTTATAACATGTAAAAACTTGCAGCTGGAAATTCAGGAGTAGGAGATGTAGAACAGAAGAAATTCATTTCTCCAAGTTATGTAACAATGGTACTAATCTTGCATTCATATACTGATCTGTTCGTGCCAGACAATGTGTGAAGCCCTATTTACTAATCTAATATTTGCCTGTTCATGCCTGACAATGTGTGAAGGCTTATATGCTTATCATGCCTGACAAAGAAGTCTTTATACTGATCATATATTTGGCCGCTCATGCCTGACAATGTGTGCAGTCTTATTGATGAAAAACCAGAAGGGAGAGGGGGAAATAACAGGACAGGCACGAAGGGAAGCCAACAAGATGGGATCTTTCCATCTCCAGCCGACTAAGCCATAAAGATCTCACCTTTCCTCCTCCAGCCGATGAACGAAACCACCAGATGCCAGCCGATGAACGAGATCTGGAGCCATCTCCGGTGCAAGAAGAATCAGATCCACCGTATCACCTATCATCATCCAGCCGACGAAGGAAGCCATCAGACTCGGCCTGATCTGCATCTCTGGCGCCAAGAATCAGATCCACCGTAGAATCGTCGCCTAAACTGAATTTACTGAACACGCGCAGACCTGTGGAGGCAGCAGCGCCGAAGGGGACATAGTAGGGAAGAAAAAATATTACACAGGACTTTGAAGCAAACTCTCCTCGCCACCGGTACAGATCCGGGCAGAGCGACCATGGATCACGCGTGTAGGTTGGCCAGACCACGCACGGCCCAAACCCATCATGCTCCGCCGCCGGCGAGCTCACTCCCCGGCTTCGTCGTCCATGGCGACGCCGCTCGGCGTTGCGGTTGGGAATCGAGAGAGGGAAAGAGGGAGAGACGGCGAAGGAAGGGGGAAAGGCGGAGAGAGAGAGAGAGAGAGAGACGCAAAGCAATCCGGTTTTCTGTTTCTAAATCGAGGAGGGGGAGTATTATCTTTTGCAATTAAAACGCATCGGCCCAATAGCTCACCGGTTCAGACACTGTCTCGTGGGGTCCGTCCGTGCGGTGGGGACCGGATGTCAGTGTGGTGGGTTCGGAGATATATGGTGGGATTTTGGAGTGTAACCGACCTGCCAAGTGGGACCCACCTGTCATTCGTTTGAAATTGTTTCCACTGTAAAGACGCAGGCAACTAACCACTCTAGGAGGAAATTTTGAGGGTTTATGCCTTGAAAAAATGTAGGTACTATGGAAAACAAACGAATAAGGGCACCATTCATTGAGGTTTTTCTCCGCATCTTAAGCTACTAAAAAGTTTAAGCCTCTTTTTCTCACGTTGTTGAACTTTATCGCGCCTTTCACACCATTCCATTCGTTTTTGTCCTAATGTGGGTAACTGTGTAGCCAAATAACTTAATTAATTGCCCTTATGCTTGAGAGGTGACGAGCTTTAACCATTGGTTCTATGGGTCGCACTCGCCGTCGTCGTACTCCTCGCCGCTGTCGGGCCAGACTCGTCGACGACGTCGTAGCGGCGGAGCGACGCGCCCTCGGGCGGCGGGGGTGGGGGTGGGCCTCCCGGAGGCGGCGGGGCGGGAGCAGTCCTTCTGAAGGCAGCGGGACCGGTGACGGGCCTCCCTGTGGGGGTGGACGGCGCATCGGCGAGGAGCTGCCTGAGGAGGGTGGCGAGCGGGCAGCCCTTGAGAGCGACGGAGGAAGCCATGGATCTCTCTCTCCCCTTTCTCTCGAGCGCTCTGCGATTCTTGCGGCGGTGGTGGCGAGCCGCGCCGGCCGGCCGCTCCCCTCAGCTCTCAGGCAGAGTGGCAGCGTCCCCCGCCCTGCGTCACCAGCGTCGACGCAGGCTGCGTGTATGCCCACGCTGTTCCTCCTCCTCGCCGATCCACCGCCGACGGATTTGGGGAATATTTTTTTCATGTGAATCGAAATGACGCCTAGATTATAGTAGAATGGGTTTTCTAATAAGTATACAATGTAATTTTCATCACAATCTTTGATTAAAATGCATTATACAATTATTACAATTCAGCACAATTCATTGTATTCTTTGGGCTCGATGTCGAGGAGGAGGCCCTGGTTTGGACACGGCAGCGGGTGCCTGGAGAAGCCGCCGTCGCAGCCGGCGGCGAGCCTCCACCTGAACCCGGTGACGATGTAGTGCATGGCCACCAGCGTCTCCGCCCTCGCGAACTCGTTCCCGGGGCACGCGCGCGCGCCGCCGCCGAACGGCACGTAGCTGAACGGCGGGGGCGCCGACTTCGCCGCCGCCGCCTCGAACCTCGCCGGCTCGAACCTGCCGGGGTCCGGGAAGATGGTCGGGTCCAGGTGCGTCATCGTCGCCGCGGTTATCACCTGCCACCACTTGGGTATCACGTAGCCGCCGACCTCGACGTCGGCCACCGCCTTCCTCATGTTCGCGAACGTCGGCGGCACCATCCGCAGCGTCTCCATGGCCGCCGCCCACGTGTACCTCATCCCGGCGAGGTCGTCCCACGTCAGGGCGGAGCCGGAGCCTCCCCTGCGCCGCCGCTGCGCCGCGATCGCCTCCTGCTCCGCCGCGACCCGCTCGTAGGCCGCCCGGTTGCCGTCGAGGTGGCGGAGGAGGAAGGTGAGGAGCACGGCGGTGGTGTCGTGCGCCGCCACCATCAGGAACACGACGTTGTCGATGATCTCCTCCTCGTCCATCCCCTCGGCCAGCATGTGCGTCACCAGGTCGCCCGCGCTGCCGCCGCCGCCGCCGCCACGCGGCATCGCTCGCCGCCTCTCCTCCACGATCCACGCCACGGCGCGCCGCCCGCGCCGGCTCGCGGCGAGGCACTTGCCGAAGGTGGTGAAGGGGAGGTTCACCGGGACGGCCCAGATCCCCCGGACCAGCTGCTGGAACTCCGACGAGAGCTCACGCCTCACGGCGGCGTGGTCGCCCCGCCTCTCCAGCCCGAACAGCACGGTGCACATGACGTCGAACGTCAGCGACTTCATCGACGGCATCACCGCGACGGCGGCGCGGCCGCCCCACTCGGCGCGGAGGTGGCGGCGGACCTCGTCGTCCATGGCCGAGACGTAGTTCTTGACGGCGTCGAGCCTGAGGAAGCGGGCCATCATGGCCCTGACGCGGCGGTGGTCGTCGCCGGCCACCTCGCGGATGTTGCGGCGGCCGACCATGCGGAGGAAGGAGGCGCTGCTCATGGCGGCGAGCTTGTCGCTGGAGAAGAGGAGCTTGTTGCAGGAGGCGCCGGCGAGGAACGCCGTGGGGCGGCCGAAGAGGGAGATCGTGGAGACGGGGCCGTAGGCGGCGGCACGGCGGCGGAGCCAGTCCTCGGCGGCGTTGGAGCGGAGGGCGCGGAGCAGGGCGAGGGTGTGGCCGACGACGGGGAGGCCCAGGGAGCCCGGAGGCTGATTCTTGCGGCGGCGCAGCGACGACGACGCCACGGCGGCGGCGGCGGCGGCGGCGGCGGCGGTGGCGAGGATGGTTAGTAGAGCTACCAGCATCGCAGAAGCGTCCATGGATCTTGGATCAGCCTCGTTCTCTCTTCACAACTAGGCGTTTAGCCAGTGGCTGGCTAGTACATTGGTTAATCCTACTATGGGAAAACTCTTCTCTCGTTAATTATTGCACATCAACTACTACTCCACTAAAAAAATACTAATCCTAGCTACAAACCTAAACCTAAATATATATATATATATATCTAGATTCATAGTTAACATTAAAAAAATTTTTTATGGGACATAGGGATCGAAAGTTATAATTATTCTTTTAGAAGAATGATGATATAGAGTATATAATATCATTTTATAAGCATATGAGTTCAAACTCGACTTTTAAAGGTCGTAAAAAAATCTTATATCTTATAAAGTCGAATTTAAACTTATGAAGTGATATACTACATATTAATTTATATTATTAATTTTATATTTATTTAATTAACATGTAGTAAACAAGTTTTGGTGATTAGAACCCTTCTCCCATACTACTTAACTACTAATTTAGTCATATTTGATCAAGCAGCTTATAATATGACACAGACAAAGTAGAGTGATAGTGTCTATTCTTTTTTTTTAACAAAGTACAAATGTGGGTGACTTACTATTGATGGGTACATCGTCTATCCCTAAAAAAATAATTAGCCATAATAGGAGTACCCATAAATGCAAACACTCGTATTAAATTTAAAATTTAAATCCGGGTGAACTGGTTCCACCACAAAAAACCTAACAGTTGAGTTACACTCACTTCACAACATTAGTGTCCGTTCCTAATATACTTGGTAGCGGATATTATCGAAAATGCTCAGCACCGCACGTCCGATCGTGCACTGAAAAATCGATCGCCGCCCACGCCGTGTGATCGAGCCGCGCGGATCGGACGGCTATCTATCAGGCTGTGACATTGTTGTTAGCCAAAGCAAATACTAGCATCTCTTATTTCTTCAAAAGATTTTTTTTTCTCGTAAACTATTTATCTAATCTATGATCTGATTGCACCACTAAATAGTAATTTCGTTACAATTAAATCTTTACAACAAGACCACACATGATTATATTTCGACAAAAAAATATTTTAACTTTTTATTGATTTTTTTAGAATGTTGCATATGGTCCTTTTGAGGTTTCAACCAGTAGTTTTACGATGTTTCAGGTAATGTACTCATGATGTTTCACTATGTACAGATCAAATGTTGCAGTGGATTTTGATATTATGGAACGCGTAGTTGCAACAAATCACCCACATATTTTGGAAACCCTCTATTAAAGGAATTTGGTTTATTTTTTGTTCCACCAAAAATGTTTCACCTAGTGTACTCATAATGTTTCACTATATATAAATCTAATGTTGCAGTGAACTGAAATACTCCATTGCAACAAAAAAAACCCACATATTTTGCAAACCTCCTATTAAGGTAATTCGGTTTATTTTTCGTTCCACCGAAAAATGTTTCACCTAGTGTACTTACAATGTTTCACTATGTATGGATCAAATATTGCAGTGAACTGAAACATTCTTTCGCTATTTGCTGAAACATTGTTTTCATATAAGGTGAAACAACACCCGATTTAATCGAGTGAAACATGTTCGATCTACTTAGTGAAACAATTCCGATATACCTAGTGGTACATCGTGCAATATTTAAAAATAATTCAATAATAAGCTAAAAATAATTTCGCCGGAATATATGCATGTGTGGTCTTGTTTTGAAGATTTAATTGCAACGAATTTAATAGTACAATCAGATCATGATTTGGATAAGTAATTTAAAAGAAAAATCAGTTTAAATGAGTTTTGCACGTAAATCGGACGCTGACGCCAGCATTACATCAGCACCCGATTTTTCTCTAAATCTATCGGACGCCCGACCGTATACAGCCCTTGATATTATTCATGTTCAAACTTTAAGGGATATGATATCGTTGTGCGGGCAACTAAACAATGCATGTATATTAGATATGGAGTCAATTGTTGCGGTAGCTTAAAATAAACGGCCTCATAATTTTTAATTGTTATAAAGGTGAACATAGTGGCAGATTATATAATACAAAGTATGACATGTAGTACTCCTACCTCCTAAACTTTTTGTCAATGCTCAATAGTTTTTGTCAATACTCAATAGGACGGAATCATTTGATGAGGAGGCGACAATGGATGCCATGAGAGAAGGACAGGCCTTTTCAAAAGGGGAAAAAAAAAGAAAAGTCCCCCCCCCCCCCCCCCCCCAATACGGAATTATGTCATACTGGTGGATTAGCATAAGAAGATGGCACCTGAAAAATAAGAAAATGAAAATCACAAGGAAACCCGGCATCCTTATCGGTGAGGCGACGGGGCTGGTGATGAAGAGGGTGATAGTTGGATTGTGGTGCATACGGCTCGATCGGCCTTACATGATCATCGTCGAGATGGTGGAGAAGACCACTGCATACTGCATGTCTGCATAGCTTGAGCTATCATAACATGAATGAATTAGTCAAGACCAGACTCCTATCGACTCATTTCCACTAGTTAGTTCAGTCCTCGAAATTTAACCCTGATCAGGATACTAGAGGGTTTCTTTTCTTGTGTAATCTTCTGCATAATCTCGATCAAGATGCACGGAACAATTGTCAATTTAACACAGTTCATTCATGCCACACTAGCAAGTACAGTTGAGAGAACGTTCAGGGTCTTATGGCTAACTTTATAAGGTGGTGAGTTAGCTGGTTTAGGTTCAAAGTTTTACCCCTTATATTTATTTGATATTTCACTTTTTTTTTTGCAAGTACAGTTGTCGCAGACGATGGCGGGGTGGCCGTTTGTCTCTGTACCAGCAAGCATATAGCCGCGAGGACTAATCTTGGAGCACATCTCGGTCTTGATGAACAAAATACCCCGAAAGACCGGAGAAAGAATAAAACCATGTTATAACCATTATATAAGGAGAATGTTATTTCATTATTATGTTGCCACCTCATACCAATAATACATGGAACCATCTTGTCAATGGCAAAGAATCAAAGGTCCATTTCTTTTATTGGGAAAACAACAAATCTGGAGGCAGTACTGTCTGCCACAAGGTCATGGCATATGCAGCTGCCTTCGAAAGTCATGAAAGATTTTTCATATAAACTAATTCAATCTCCACAAGATCGAAAGTCATGAAAGATTTTCATATGAAACAATTCAATCTCCACAATAATCAATCGGGTTATATTAGATTAATGTGTTCCAAAAAGAAAAAAGGCTAAACGATAGAGTAAAATGACCTGAAGTTGTGGACAGATTGATTTTCTTGTTTCAGAGAAGTGCTGAACAGAAAATTCTGAGGCTTGACCATATGGAAGAAGAGGAGAACCTCAAAGTGATGTCATTCTACAAAACTTTTCCGAGACCCATAGTGGAGATGTCAGTAGTTGCAAAATTTCTGCAAGCAATTCTACAATTTACGGTTACAAGATTTACAAGGTTTTCATTTGAGGAAAGTGCAACCCAGGAACAGGAAGACATATGCAACTAATGATGTAAGTAGCTCAAGGGACCAAGAGGGTGGGATGATGAATGTTGGGATAAGTGGGACCAATAGAGAGCCAATTATCCAGCCACCAACAAGCACTCCAAACCTGGAAGAACAAAAGAGTAAGCATGATATTGATATCAAAGTAGGCAAGCTACGGTCCGATGGATATCAAGTGAAAAAATTCCCACTAACCCAGTTGTTGATGCCCTCATGAGGTTCTTCATCTTATCATTAAGGAAATATATGCACGAGAAGAGAGATATTGCAAGCTGCAAAAGGAAAAAAAAAAACTAGTCAACTAGAGAAGTTGTGCTCAAGATGGGAAGTGTATTAAGCTAGTATTGCATAAATATTTAAAATTTAGGAGTTATTAGGCCTTGCATTGTCTTTATACCCTCAACAAGAGATGTTGGTTACATTGGATAATTTAAATTTTCAGATGAATGAACAAGCATATGCATTTTACGTGCAAACTAGATTGCCTTCTTGGACTGCTATGAATTGAAATATGTCATCAAACAAGAAAAAAACAACTTGAAAGGCCAGCAAAAACCAAAGCACAGATACCTGGAATGCAGGTCCATTCTCAGCAGAAGTCGCTATGCTCCAACCAGCAATGAAAGCGAAAAAGAACAATCTTCTTGAAATGATATCCATTTGTGGCACCTCAAAATATCCAAGCAGTGCCTTTACCCATGACGGGGATTCCTCAACTCGCTTTTTTAGCTTAGTTTTCAGATTAATCTTAGTCTTTTTCCGCTGCTGGTAGCTCTTCATTATTATCTTCTCGTATGCACCTTCAATAGCTTCTTCACTTGGTTCATGCCCAGCATACTGTTGAATAAGGAAATTTCTAGCACTCCTGATCTCTTCTTCAGCTGCATCACGATCAACACCAAGAAGCTTGTAGGGATCACGAATCCGGTATCTTGGAAACACTGGAACGTGCTCTGTGGAGACACAGAAACTAGGGTTAAGATCACATAAGATAAGCTCTACAACTGCACGTTGTTTCCAAAAACAATCAAAAGAATGGAAAGTTGGGTTCTATGTCAGTATTCTTAGTAATCACAAAAAATAACAACCCCAAGTAGCAAGCAAATAATCTGTGGGAAGTGGGAAACCTAGATGCAAACCTATATGGGTTATCAAGATAAATGAACGAAAGTTATCTTTCTATTACCTTTTATTCCTAGTGCAAGGACAAGAAACTCATGCACAGAACAAGTTTGACATTGATTAAATAATCATAAAAATAATATCGTAATTTATGAGACACTGTTGATAAACATCAATACAATGGATATCATCGGTTCAGAACTTCAGATTTACACAAGAAAACTAATTGGCACCACTTGATATCTTGTCTAACCAAACCCATAGAAGAGCATTCCCTCTTTCAGCTTAGAGAACCCAACAAACAAGATTTAGCATTAGTACCAAATCACCATGCCAGCATCTGCGCCATCATAATTCTAGAAATGCCGCTATATCACCATAAGGCATATGCATCTCTCCTTCCTGAAATCATTTCACTAGAAATTTCTAAGCATAAAGTATGGTAATAGACACGTTAATTCCCTAGCTAATCCTGTATATTTCTCCACTAGGCATGAACCAGGCATGCTCAGCCTGTGCTACCAAGCATCTCCATTGTGTTCATGGCACAAATTATGAAATCGGTAATCCAATAAATGGGATCACCACACAGCCAATACGATCAGTTCATCGCAGCAGCTAAACAGGCATTATCACTCTGCAACCCAGAGACCACGCAGAACAACACAAATCAGCTGAGACATCGAGAGAGCATCGCTAGGGTTCGGGCATCTCCCTCCCCCTTCCTTACCGTAGCTGAACCCGCGGTCCCCGCCGGCGCCCGCGCCCGCGCCGCCGCCGATGGAGAGGCTCATGGAGCACCGCGGGCCCCGCGCCACCAGCCGCCGCCGCGGCGGGGCCAGCGAGACGCCTCCCCGCAACCCATGCAAGCACCTGCACACAATGGGGAAAACGCGCGCACCGGAGAACCCCCACAGAGGGGCCGGCAGGGGGAGCTCGTCGTCAGTCGCGGAGGAGGAGAGACGCGAGCCGGGGGAGGAGGGGCGGAAAAGGGTTTCGAGGGGCACGTGGGCGCGCTCACCGGTAGTGGGGACGCGGGAGCGGGCGGACGAGGAAGAGCGCGGCCGTCGCCTGCATCTCCGGCGGCGGCGGGAGGAGGAGGAGGGCGGCGTGGATGGCGAGAGGGGGGGATTGGATAGGGGGAGGAGCCGGAGACGAGGAAGGGGACGACTCGGGAGAGGGAGAGGGAGGTGGTGGGTCTTTTGTGGGCCTGGATGGACTTTGGGTGGGAAGGTGTTGGGCTTTTGATGGGTCTGTATGGGCCGGGCACATTTGGGATTTGATGGTTCATACTCCTCCGTTCCTAAATATTACGCCGTTGATCTTTTTAAACGTTCGTCTTATTAAAAAACTTTTGTAATATATGTAAAACTATATATATATACATAAAAGTATATTTAACAATGAATCAAATGATAGAAAAAGAATTAACTCCCTCCGTCCCTAAATATTACGCCGTTGACCTTTTTAAACATATTTGACCGTTTATCTTATTAAAAAACTTTTGTAAAATATGTAAAACCATATATATACATAAAAATTTATTTAACAATGAATCAAATGATAGAAAAAGAATTAATAGTTACTTAAATTTTTTGAATAAGACGAACGATCAAATATGTTTAAAAAAGTCAACGGCTCAAATATTTAGGGACAGAGGGAGTATTTCTTTTCTTTTTTTACTACTACCCCCGTCCCAAAATAAGTGCAGCTGTGGATATCCGTGCCCAACGTTTGACCGTCCGTCTTATTTGAAAATTTTGTGAAAAAATTGAAAATATTTAGTCACACATAAAATACTATTCATATTTTATTATCTAATAGCAATAAAAATACCAATCATAAAAATTTTTTAAATAAGACAAACGGTCAAACGTTGAACGTGAATAGTGCAAAACTGCACTTATTTCGGGACGGAGAGAGTAGTAGTAACATGTCATGTACCTACACGCTCTGTTAAAAAAAAAACTTCTACTAATGAATCTGGACAAATGTTGTTCAAATTCATCCTCAGAAGTTGGTTTTTTATGGGACGGAGGGACAAATGCGTGTCCAGGTTCATTCCCAGAGAGTATGTAACTAGAGAAGTTAGGATTGTGATTGGTAAAAATTAGATCCGGTGATTGAGAAGAACTCTTACCATGATTATGCAAGAGGAGCGTACAAACGAAACGCGCGGTGGGAGTAGCAGGGATGGAGGACGACTCTTTTTTGCAGAAAGACAAATGTAGAGTAAAGTCTATTTTTAGCCTTCAAACTTGCATTGAAGTCCAATTTTCACCGTGAACTATAAAAATCGTTTGTTTTTATCCTAAATTTTTGAAATCGGACAAGTTTCACCCTGATGCTGATTTTAGATGGTGGTTTTTTGTCACACAACAACAGTAACAAGCACCAACATTGTTTTATGTTGTTTTAGGTGCTAATATGGGATTGGTTCCACATGTCACACATTTTCCCCCTTATTTCCTCACACAAAGTAGTGATTACAGAGATGCAAGGAAAAAGAAGAGTAAAAAAATGTATACAATATGTGGGACAATAACTTGTTAACAATCACCGAACGGGACATAAAAACAGCAAGATAATTTCTAGTGCAGCTAAAACTATGGACTTCGACGGAAGTCTGAGATCCAAAGATAAACTTTACCCTAATATAAATCCTCTACAAACCTATAAAACATTCTGCAATTCCTACTGCTCAATCAAATTACCGGTCATTGGATTATTATCTATGTCCACGACAGCAAAGGGAGGGGATTAATCAGAGAGCGTCACGGGAAGAAGGCGCGTTTCTTGGCCTTGCTGCTGTTGTTGCTGTTGCTGCCGGCGACCATGGCGTCGACGATGGCGAGGTTCTTGGCGATGAGCTTCTGCGCGCGGCGGCTAGTGATCTCCACCTTCATGCTGTTTGTCTTCTCCATCTTGTCGTAGCACGACGACGACGACGACGACTCCGCCGCCGCCGCCGTCAGCATCTTCCTTCTTCGCAGCCTCGCCTTGATGCCGCCGACGAGCTTCGCCAGCTTCCCCATCGCCGTCTCTTCTCAGATTCTTTTTGGGAAGATTTTTATAAGATGGATTTACTGATCGATCGAGCCTTTTAAGTATCCACATTCCACAGGTAGGCGAAGCCGAGGCCGGTGGATGTGCTGAGCTGACGACGACGGTCAAATGTTGAGTTGGTCATGCATGCTTATGAGCAGGAATGTAGCGTTACTTTCGAATCGGCTAACGGCATGATCCACCGTGGCAACCGGGACACGTGGAATCCCCTCAACGAGTCACTGGACGACTGACAAAGTGTCCCCACCCCGAGTTCCCTGGGGTGGGACATACGTGTCAGTGCCACGCCTGACCCAGTGTGAGAAGGGCCCCACCTAGTGAATCCTTTCATTGATTCTCGTCTAAACCCTCCGGCAAAAAAAAGGAATCTGGATAACGACTTCAACGTCCAGGATAGCGAACTCTTAATCGTCTAGATTCATAGTAAGATGATCCAGATTCATAGTACGATAATTCTATACGTGTCTAGATTTATAAACATCTATATAAATATAGACAATTCTAAAAAGTCTTATATTATGAAACGGAGAGAGTATCATATTTAGTACTTCTTTTGTTTCACAATATAAGTTATTCTAGCATTTTTTCATATTGATGTTAACGAATCTAGACTATAAATGTAAGGAAATGTTAGAATGACTTACATTGTGAAATGAAGGAATTATCAATTAGGCCTAAAGTAATTGATTTTGCCCCTTTGGTGGATAGAGTGGAGAGACGTCTTTCAACAACAATAGCACTCCTTTCTTATGGTGATAGATTGACAATTGTAAATGCAGTACTCTCCTCTTTGCCAACGTATTATATGTGTTTTCTGTCTCTTCCAAAATCTGTAATTGAGAGTATAGATAGGGCAAGGAGACATTGTTTATGAAGGGGTTCAGATATAAATTCAAACAAAAAGTCTTTGGTGATGTGGGACAGAGTGTGTCAGCCAAAGTACAAAGGTGGTTTAGGTGTAATTGATCTCAGACTCCAAAATAATGCCCTTCTCCTGAAAAATTTGCACAAATTTTATAATAGGTTACCAATTCCCTGGGTTAATCTGATCTGGAATACTTACTACATCTCAAAAGTACATCTCAAAAGTGCCACATGTTGTCGCCCCTAAAGGATCCTTTTTGTGGAGAGATGTTCTGCAATTTGTGGATATTTTTAGGGAAATTTTAAACTGTAATATTGGGGAATGGTAAATCATGTTTGTTTTGGAAGGATCTGTGGAATAATAAGCTCAGATCATCTGTATTTCCTAGGATTCACTCTTTTTCCAGGAATGTCAAGATTTCAGTTCATATGTTCTCCTTAAAGGATCTTTCAGAACTTTTTGTCTTGCCTTTGTCTGAGCAAGCCTCTCAGGAATATATGATAATGTCAACTTCTGATCCTATAGATCAACTTAATGATGAGAAGGATAGCTGGACTTATATGCTTGGGGTAATGGAATTTTCTCTTCTCAGAAGTAAGCTACAAATTTTTCGTAGATTCAGGTGCCAGCTTATATCAATTGAATCTGAAAGAGCAAGTGTGTTTCCAAGGTCAAAGTTTTTGGTTGGCTTCTTTTAATAGATCGCTTAAACACTCATGATATGCTGGACAGAAGGCACTGTTCTCCTCAAAATGCTTCCTTGATGTGTTTTGTGTGCTACAGGAGTGAGAAACAACCCTGCATATTTTCTTTCAGTGCCTATTTAGCTCTGAATGTTGGGCTCAATTTGGTGTGGTTTGGGATCTTTCCCTTAGTTGTTTGCTGCCAAGAATTCTTATATGTCTTCACACTATGTTGAGAAGGTGCTCTATACTGCTTGGAATATTTAGAAGCAAAGGAATGGGAATGGTTTAATCTTTAATAATCTAGCCCCTTCAGTTGCCTCTTGGAGAGCTCTTAAGACTGATATCTCCCTCTTAGTTTATAGGCTTAATTTATTTGAGAGACTCTCTAAAATTGTGGATTAACTTGTTGTAATTTGAACCTTTTGTTTTGTTTAATATATTAACCGTGGGGCTTCCCCTACAGTGTTTCCCTCTCAAAAATATTTAGTACTAGGTTGATCTTTTATGGGACGGAGGGAATAGAGCTTAGGAATTTCACTGGAATACACTATAGGCCACCTGAATTTCACTGAAGTCCCACAAAGACTTTATTCACATAGCGAAAAACATATGACAGGAAAATGTAGCAATAACACTTTCAGTACCTCATCATGACCTGATCTATCATCTCATTTCACACCGGAGAGAACAAAAGCCTTGCTATACAACTGATTTAGTGATTTTTAACCAGACATGTGTATTCACAGTTTGCTGTGCCGAAGTTTTTTCCTTTTGGGTGTACGTATGATGCAATAGAACCAATTTTGCTTTTTTGTAACTACCTAGATTTTGGAGTGCTTTGGCTGCTGGGTGAACTCCTTGCGGAGGACTCTCCTCATGACCTTGTTTGAGGCTGTTCTAGGGAGCGAAGGGACTACCACAACTGAAGAAACCTGCAGAGATGATGGGAGGAAACAGGTGCTTAGTGATGTTATCGCAGTGTGCCATGTAAAAGATGTAGGGTACAGTAGTTATCAATGAGATGATTCACAGGGATGGTATAAGAACCTTGAAAAGAGGGTTAAGTTTCTTCAGAGCAGTGTTGAATGCCAGTTTCAGCTGATTCAAATCCTCTGTTTGTGAGCTTTGGTCTTTGAAGACGACGGCTATGGTCAGCTGTTCAGGGCCACCCCCTAGAGGTGGAACCCCAATAGCTGCTGTTTCAAGGATGGCGTCGTTTACCCTGTTGCAGATCCGCTCTATCTCGATGGAACTCACCTGAGATTGGTCGAGACACATTAATGTCTGGATTGCCGAAATCTAAATTTGCTAAATAAGTTGTGCATTTGTGGCATTTGGTACCTTAATTCCACCAAGGTTCATTGTGTCATCTGCGCGCCCATGAGCCCTATAATACCCATCTGGAGTACGCTCAAATTCATCCCCATGCCTCCGAAGGACCTGCACACCCAGTTACATGGATTAGTGGTCTCAAGTCTCAACTTAAACGATGATTAGGGAGACCAGGGATGAAACACGTACTTTCCCGTTCCATTCTGGCATTCCACTGAAGTACACCTCATGATG